GCTGGCTGCTCCTTCTGAGGGCAGGACAAGTCCCCAGCAGTCTTTACATGACCTGTATCTGTGCAGTTTGATGGACTCTTCTATAATTAACCATTGTCAAGAACACTTCTGAAAATGCCGGCTGGCATTTCAAATAGGAACATCAGATTAAGGAGAAGAGAGGTAATGAGGTGCAAGGAGAAAATCCTTCCCTGGGGAACAAATCAAACCTGATACCATCATGAAGCATAATGAGAAATGCACTGCCGAACTGAGGAGATTCACCGCAGCTGCCTAGAGGAAGCGAAACCCTGTATTCCTATTTAAAACACCAGAGAGGGGATGCTAATGTTTTGGTCTGCTGGTTAAGTCAGGGGACGTGCAGCTTGCACACCTGCCTTTTGCGTGTAGTTTTGCCACATGTTTCCTGAGTCCTTGGGCAAGTCATTTCACTTCTCTGTGACATAAGGTATGTCTACATAGATGTATGCAAGTCAGTGCAAATAGAGTGTGCCTGTACGCCCACATGGCAGGTTCTGAAGCTATGACTGTATCTACACTGTTAAATAACATAAGGCTAAGTGGCACAGGCTAGTCCTGTCCACACTACACAGAACTTGGCCTTCCTCTTCTTTTTTGGTCTCACGTGATGCCTCTGTGGCCCTAAGGTAATGCTGTTTTTTTTTATCTTTTCCCCAGTTCATAGTATCTTTAATAATATGAGGCCTTGTGGCAGATCATCACAGCAGTATTTTTGTAGCATCAATCTGAGGATTTGTCTTGCATGTTCTGGCATGTGGCAGGAAAGCCTGTGTCTCTGTCTGGAGGAGCAAAACCAGTTTTGCTGGTGTAGGAGGACTGCCCAGGTTGGAAGGAGCCAGACCTGTACTCTCCTGTCTTTACTGCCCATGGGAATCCTGTCCCCTGGAGCAGGTGTGGGTGTCACTTGGACCGGCAGTGCCAGGCAGTGTGCTGACAATTAAACAGTATTGACCACCCGTGATCCTGTAAATCAATTTGTTTTCTGGCCCTGCTGTATTTAGCAGTATAAATGAAATCTGTGTGGCCATGTCAGCATGGCTGTATGCCCACACTGATAGATAAATCAGGGTATATTATTTCACGCACGGTGCTACACAGTCGAAGGAGCTGTGGCCACAAGAGCTCATGTCATAGATACAGCAAGTATCAGGTTACTGTCATCATAATTGCCAACCTTACTGGGATACCCAGTAGCTTAGTTAAAGTTTATAACAAGCATTGATATTCTCCACATAGAAGTCCTGGGCTGGAGTTGCGTGGGACAGTGTTTTCAGCCTTTAGCAATTTGCAGACCACATGTAAGTATTCCAGGAGAAGCACGGATTACCTATAGCAAAAGCTCTCTGGACTGTGAGTGTGCTTTTCTTGGTGTTCTTTCCTGGACCCTCAGGGATCCAAGAGCCAACAGTTAATGACTACGGACACATGGGGGACAGTGGACATTACAAGGAAAGGGATAGAAGTAGGTGGAGATCATGAGACCTCTCTTAGACTGTTTTACAAGGCACTAAAAACTGATGTGGTGTTTGATGCCCAAGTACCTGCTCTGTCTTCTCAAGGACAAGGATGCCATTTCACACAGCAGTCTGTGGGAGCAAGCCTGCGGGGCATCCTGAGTGGCAACTAGTGGTCCTGCAGGGCTGGAAGGGCCTAGGAGCATGAGGGCCCCATGCCAAGAGGGCTAAGATGTTCTTACTCTCACCTGCCATCCTGTTGATGTACCCTCATTGCTGACAGTAATCTTACATGTCTGCAATCTTGGTCTCATCTGTGTCTGCAATCTTGGTCTCATCTGTGTGTCACCTCTCATCCAGTGACAGCTCTTCCCCCGCACTGCCGCAGGCACCACAAGAGGTTTTGTTGCTCCCCAAGTTATGTGGCACGGAAGCGTTTCCTCCATGAAGCTGTCTGCCGTTCGTTCTAGATCCCGGGGTAGGATTTGGGACTAATGCTGCTTGAACTGCTGTTGGGCTCCTTGCAGGGTAGCTATGTCATTTTTCTACCAAAAGTCTTCCCTGGCATTTTACTTAACTCTTGTGCAGTGTGAGTTGCACGGGTATCAGACAGCATGTTGTGAGTCAGAGCAAAGGCATTCAGTATCACAGTGCTCCAGTGGAAGAAAAATATAAGGGTAACTATTGCAGTATTTACAGCATATTTTTTCATATTGAGATTTGCACAAGCTTGTTTTGAGTTATTCGGCATAAAAAATCCATGATTATAGAGAAGCTGACTCATTAAAACAGTCTGTTTCTCCAGAGAACCCAGAAGAAAACACAGTGCTTTAATACATCTAAATTCACTTGAGTGTGCCTGGTGCTATCAGTTAAACTACATTGAAAATATCTTTCTTCCCTGCACTGTTCCTGGCAATTCCCTCTTTCCTTAGTGCTCCCCCTGACTTGCCTTCTTCCTGTCTGTAATACAAATGTAAGGAGAAGCGGCACCTTTTTTCTCTGCAGATTTGCCCCTTGTGTGCATTCTTACCTGCCAGCAGTAGCGACTGCAAATGTTTCTTGCTTTCTGCCATGAGAGTCACATGGAGTGAAAACAGCTAAAAAAATGTGTACGGCAGAGTGCGTCTCTTTCCGTGCATAGTTGGTGTTTGGTGCATACTGGTTTCTGGGCCACCTGAATACCTGCGCAAAGCCGATGTGAAGCAAATTATGGAGAGGATAGCTAGTGAGCACAGGAGTAACTCGGGGAGGATTTGACTTGCAGGATCTATTACTGACCATGCTAACGAGGAGAAGATCAGCTGGTATCTAGGTCCTAGTCCATAGGCCTGACAATTGGCACATAGGTATTTTTACTTGCAAACTGAGGAGATGTGACGTGGTACGTCCAACATGATGTACGTGGTGATACCATAAAAATGGCATCTCTTTTCAGGTGAGACCATACTTCTGCCCTCATGCCTCTTTTCCTCTTTGTTTGCCATTTGCCATTTGTTTGTCCTATGAGTCAAAAGTTGACTGCAGTGTGGTAAAACACTCAGACTCCTTTTTATTTCAACCAGTACTATTCTGTGGTCTGCCCTTTGGCTAATTCCCTCCTCTTACTCCTCTGAGCTCTTTAAAAAAGCCATGCTTCTTAACTGTACGATGCCGGATTTGCAAGATTGATCTTCTCTAAGCATTTCACGCTGCGTTGCCTTGCATATTTTATATCTATGTTCTAATTAAGTCATCAGGTCATGATGGATGGGTGTTGACGTCTCTGTGACTCTCTCTCAATGATGAAGAGTGGAAGGAAATCTCCAGGAGCCTGGGAAGTGTGTGCAAATGAGTTGGTCTTATGTGAACTTTTAACATGCTCTTCCAGGCTGAGTTCGGAGTTGGTACGTGATCTCAGATGGGATTCCCTGGAAACTGAAAAATTCTGCTTACCTCTGGCTCTTCCAGTACGTGCTCCCACACATCTCCTTGAATGTTGGGCACCATTCCTCAGCTGGATGCAGTGAGAGCAGCTCAATCCAAAACGGCAGGAGAGAGTAGGTTTAGACATAGGAAAAGCGGAAAAATACCTGACACATCCTATGCCTGGTGAAGAAGCAGAAGCTAGTTATAGACAAGCTGCTCAAGGCTAAGTACCGTTCCTGTAAGAAGGAAGAACAGTGGACTGAGACGCAATATTTGCTTGCTTTTCCAGACTCATGTCAGCTGTGTTTTAGTCTGCGCTGGCTTTCCACTACCTTTCCTGCCCTTCTCTGCTTAAGTGTCTGTCTGCTACAGCAGCAAGAAATGAAAGACTTTCTTTGCATTGTGAAATTAGTTAAGTGGGATGTTCCTGGGTTCAGCGGTCAGTTCCAGGCCAGCCAAGCTCATTTGTTTAGAGGATGTCCTTGCGAGACTTCTCACACTAAACGAACAAGCCTTGCACAAGTAATGGGAATCTGCACGCTGGCTGCCTCCATGCCTGGTGGTCGCTCAGCGTGGCAGCCGGTTTCTTTTGCCTACCTGGAGTGATGTGAATCAACTCCTGAAACAAGTGGGCAGCCGAGTGTAGACTGTAGCTGGCTACCTGGCATGATGCCGATCCACATCTGTTCACAGAGTATGAACAAAGCAAGAAAAAAGGGCTTAGCTGATCTTGCCTTTTTATCAGGAGCTGGTTGGTGGGGTCTTTTGTCAGGGTTTCACCAGCCAGTTGGGTCTGTTTTGTCCAGATGATTGGCAGCTTATGCAGCTTGTTTCAGTTTTTTAACTGATTTTTAGTTCCAGTCAAGTGCAATCTCAGAAGAGTCTTGGGGAGCCCATAAGTCCCTCCAGAAGGAGGGATATTCAGAGCAGGCAAGCAGAATGCCTGTGTGTGCTGCTGGAGCAACAGTGAAAATTGCTGGAGGCTCAGGAAGAAAGTCCTTTGGGAGAAGAGGAACCTGACATCATGAAGAGACAAACCTTCAAATCTTGATCTTGATATAAGAGGGCAAATACCCTCTTTCAGAATATATTGTATTCAAGACTCTTTGGTCTTGGGAGGTTGAGTGAAGGTTCGTGACATCTTACAGTTGTGTCAAGAAGATGCTCGCTCGCTCGCTCTCTTACGTGTCGTCTTTTCATTCTTTTTTCCTTTTCTATTTTTGTGTCTGATGTTGAAGTTCTTTTTATTTTCTGATTTCTCCTGCATTTAATTTCCCTGAGTTCGGTCTCTGCCTGGATTTGGAGTCATAATCATTAGTATTTGGAAGTGTGGGGTTAAAATGATAAAATAAATGTGTTATAATGTAGGTTTTTTTCCTTCTAGCTTTTCAAGGTCTACTTATTTTGCGGCTGATCTAGTATGCAATTGATAAGATGAAAATGTAAATTTACAGGTTTAGTATTCAAAGTATTTTTCATCTGATCAAAGAGAGGGAAGCATTTTGCAAAACACAAAGCTTGCGTTTTTGCAAATGTCTGAAGTTATGTGGATGTAGTCAAGCCATCAGGAAATCCACAGTGCATCCGGATACTAATGTTTATTTCATTTTTCTACAGGAGGTCTTGACCTTATCTTCATGCCAGGCCTTGGGTTTGACAAAAAAGGCAACAGATTGGGAAGAGGGAAAGGATATTATGATACCTATCTTGAAAGATGTATAAAACTTCCCAGTGGAAAGCCTTACACGATTGCATTGGCTTTTAGGGAACAGATTTGTGACTCAGTGCCTGTGGCAGAAAATGATGTCCAAGTAGATGAAATCCTTTATGAAGACTGCTGAAAGTATCTTGATACCAACCCACCTTCAGAGTGACCAGCCAAAGATGTCAGATCCATCAATCATGACTTTTTAATAGTCATATATGACTTTGGGAGCAATAAAATACACTATTAGTGTTTGGAAAAAAAACCCAACAGTCTAAATGTGGTAATAGTAGTGAGGATTGCATTGATTTGCTTCTAATTAGCAAATATCTGGTGTGAATTCTTATTCTACAATCAATAGAAACAAGAATGTGTGACTGTTTATTACAGTAAGGACCATTTCTTCTCATCATACTTTTGAGGAACAAGCTACTTGATACTTAACAGTTTTATTGTTCCAGTTTAAAAGTGAACTGTCTACTAATGAGAGTTCTTGATCCATTCTGGAATTAGATACTTGTTATGGTAAAAGTTCTTAGTACTTAAATATTTTGTGCATCCATGAGCAAAATAAGAAACTGCCAGATAAGTCCTTAGTAAGCTGGGCAAAAAATGGTGATTGGAAAAAAGCCTTAATTGACTTTAGTGTTTACGATAATTTTGACTGTTTACTTGGCTCCTTGAAGTTGTCTTAAAATAAAGTTGTATTAAAATAAATATCTGTTAATAAAAAAGGGTTCATGTCCATAGCTTTGGTATATGGTTCTTTCCTTTATCTGAACACAGGATTGTAATGTAGTCTAAAATGCGGTCAGTGAGTTCTTCATCTGGAGAAAACCAGCTCTTTTTTTGTGAAATAATATTCAAAATTGCTCTCAGTTCTATAATTTTGTACACGGGCCATTCATAATGTCCCAAAATATTGTGTGAAGTATGGGTACTATGTTAAAGGATAAAGAGATGCTAAGAATTGCAGAGAGGAGGTTTTATGGATTGAGTAAATTTTTGGGTGGAAGGTTGGTTGTTCTCCAGTTCTCCAGACCATCCTGGAAATCAGGAAGAAGATAGTGAGTTTTCCTCTGCACGCTGTCCTCATAGTAATAAGACACAATTTTTCCAATCAGGATCAATCAAACTGCCAAAATTTTGTGTTCCTTTTTCAGTGCAACTTCACTTTTTCTATACATGTTTAACTCCTCCCTCAGTCAATAAATCAGTGCATTTATTTTCACCAAACTACTCTGTTTCATCATTAAAAAAATCCATGAATTCTCAAGGACCAGCTGCGGAGCAGAATGACCTTAAGACTTCCTCAGCAATAACTAGTTTTGTGAACAAAACCATGCCTACAGTACGTATGAACCTTTTCATCTCAGAATGCTTGTATTCAGTTTTATTTCCATTTTGCTAATACAGTAACTAATTAAACCCTCTTGCTCTGGGGTGAACATAAGCTTAGCAACTCAGGTCTCTCTGGCCTGTGCTCCCTGGTGCTTCTCCATCCTGTGTTAACAAAGGTCCATCTGGCTGGGGTGAAGATGATGATACCTTCAATATTGGCCTGCTGGGCTTCCCCCCAGCGTGTGCAGAAAAGCTGCAACCTGAACAAGACAGCTGGTAGCAGTTTGCAATATGGGCTGTTTAGCAAAATGATGGTGATCAGGCTTGGCCTTCCATCGGCTCTTTATCAAACTATTTCACTCCACCAAATGAAAGATGCAGAGTCAGACGCGTTCATGTGTCACACAGGGCTGCGCAAGCAGAAGCGGAGATGACAGCAGTATTGGTGCTGGTGCATGCGGCGGAGCGTCCTCCAGCTCCTCTCAGCTTTGCAGTGCTGCCAGCTGTACTGCCTTACAGGAGGGAGACACACTCTTCTGATTCAAGACCTTTGGGGAATAAATGTGATGAGAAAATTGGACCCTTTTTTTTCCACAATGTCTGTCCTGGCAGTATTTTAATCCCTTCTTCATTTCTGAACTTCTGTTGGCATACGGAGAGCAACAAAAAGAAAAGATGGAGCAGGCTTTGCGTGTGGCGGACCTATTTCTAGGTTTGTCTGCAAGGCTGTTTGAGTTCACCTCTCACGTTAGGCTCAGCACTATGCCATATGGCACGGCCTGCCATGGACATCAACAAAGCTACGCTGAAGCCAGTATTTTTCACAGCGGAAACCTGGATCCCAGATCTGATAGATGTTTTAAATGCACATATTAAGTCCAGCCCCATTCAACAAGCTACCTGCTTCCACCCCACCAAAACCAGTGGGTGCTTTTAGTGGTGTCCTGCCTCAAGGTTTAACCATGGAGGTTTATCTGGGATCCTGAGACATGTTTACATGTTTTTGGTTAGTGTGACACTAAGCGTGACTGCATGAATGCTGCTCCAGTTCTACTTTAGGCACAAAATTAAGAGGCCATGTCAGCATAACAGAACATAATCAGAGGCTAATGACCTCTTGCTGCTACGTTCAAGCTGAGGGGAAGCCATGATGTTTGGTTTTAAAGCTGAATGCTGTTTTTTTGAACTGTGTTCTATTAGGGTGCCTTGTGCCACATAAATCAAATGGCTACCATGAAAGCAAACTTCTTATCCAAAACCTCTGCGCCTTGTGGCTTTGCTTTTCTGAGGCATTCTTCATATAAGAGGGTTTTATTGTTGTTGTTGTTGTTGTTGTTGTTGTTGTTGTTGTTGTTGTTGTTGTTGTTGTTGTTTATTTCTCAGTTAGATACAAGTTTAGTCACAACACATTACAGCCCTTTGGATTAGCTTTTGCTCTTACTGTCTGAGCTTTGATTTATTCACTAGAATAAGGGCTAGCTTGACTCGTATGTATTTCACTACAGGTGATACCAGATGAACAACTGTGTACAGAAGGGCCAGCATATGATGAAGAGACTTCAGAGCCAGCACTAACAACTGTACAGAAACAAAGTGCTTAGAGAGAGACGAGGACTTGGTCATATGTTTTGTTGCGTGGGAGTTCAAAATAGGGGGGGAAAAAGTAGAAAAACAAGAGTTTGGGTGCAAAATACAGGCCCCTGCCCAGCACAGCCGCAGATAGGCACCGAGCTTTGTCCTTCATGGGCTCGCTGGAGTTGCTGGAACTAATTGGTATAGGAAAAGCAAGCAAGCTTTGAAGGCTTTCAGGACTTGAGGCAATGAGTGTCCCCCAACTTCTTATCTCACAGATCACATTTCAATACATCATGGAGCCATTCTCTCCCGCTTTCACTCCAAACCACCCTTTTGGCTACAGCTGCAGTGGGAAAGGATGAGGAAACTGTTTAATGTACTGTATCATTGGGAACAAGAGGAGCTGGCGCTTTGTTTCTTGCCAGGCTCTCCTGGGTCAGGAAGAGATCATCACAGGCTCATCGGCCAGGCTGGGGGAGCTGCAGGACCCTGGCTGATGCAGATAGCTCTTAACGTTTGGCTGGTGGGGATAGTAAAATGATATTTATGTATGTTGTCTTGAGAATCACAGAGCTAAATAAATGTGACAGCTTTCATTTGACAACCCCAACCTTGCTGCTGTCGCTCATGGTTTTTCTTTTTGCCACATAACATGAAATCACTGTCAGTTTGATAGTATACAGCAGTGTTTCCGAAGCACAAAGGTTAGGGGGTTGGTAGGTGCGTTAGAATTATTTACGTTTGCTATGCATAGAATGGCACTTGGGGAGCAAGGCAGGCTGCCAAGAAGGAGAGGAATCGGGGCTGTCTGGTTGCTCTCTTGTGTATCTCCATGCTGGATTGTCAGGGTAGGATTTATAAAAATGGCTTCAAAACAGTATCATCTTTCCTCAAATGGACGTGCCCCCGTCTGTTGCAGTGAATGCCATTATTGCTATTCTCACGACGAAGTGTCTATCAATCTCTACTTTGTTTATAAACAAATCTGCCTGCCCTGCATAAGAAATGGATAGGCTAAGGAAAAATACCATTACCAAAGGAATAAGTTAATTATATTTCAGGATCTCAGCAGGGAATGCTATCTCAGAGTATTCAGTAAGATCTGACCAGTGGAGTTATAATTAAAAAATGTCCCCAGGGAGGGAGGAACTTGTAAATTATTTACTGTAAGGGGCTTTTCCAGGCTCTTTTAGTTTAATTACACACTCTGAAAGAGAAAGGCCTCGGAAACAAATTAACTAAGAGGTTGAAATGGCTTTGTTAAAATCATGTTCACGGCTAAGCAAGTGGAAGACTGTGAGCAAGGATCAAATATAGGACAAATCTTGAAGTTGGCATTACTTGTGGTTTAAAAGTCATGGAAAGCACCAAAATGTCCATGCATAGAAAATGCAAGCACTGGTTTTGTCCAGTATTCCCACTGGCTTCGGAAGACTTTGTAGTCCAGGTCTGACAGTGCCGCTTGTCCTCATGGCCATTTGCTTTTTGGGGAGAGGAACTGACTTTTGTGGGCTTTTTGATAGGGTACGGATGAAGTCCTAGCAGAGGGGGATGAAAGATTAGAGGTGATGGAGAGGCAGAATAAGAAGATGTTGGGACGGTACGAATTTTCCATCACTCTCACATCACCTATGGCATTTTGGCTCAAAACATCCTGGTTAACCCTCAGTGGCAGGTGGGCTGAATGTGGCCCTTGGTGCCGAGAGCCAGGCACCCGTGCTATTAGAGGTTGTGTGCTTTTCAAATGCAGGGGTGAAACCTGACTTGCTAGCCCTCCCATGTCAAACACGGCTTAAGCGTTTGCTACCAAAGTTGGCCCCTGGAGCTGGCCTTTGCTGGAAGACAGCTGGCGTGATCGCTGGTGAGATGTGGAGAATGGAAGTCAAGAGGCCAGAGCAATCCCCTTGTCTCAACAACTGACTCATTGCTTGGCAGAGAGGGAGGCATTATCTAATATCTGTTTGCTAAGGAATAAGGCAGCCAGGAATACTATATCTGCCTGCTTGTTGATGCCAAATTTTATGTCTGTAATGGCCTTTCAGATGCCGTTGTCCCTGCATTTATTTCTTGCTGAAAAAACCCACATCTGCTGTGGCACCCTTACCAAGGCGCCAACTGGCTGAGCAGAGCAGGGACTGCTGGTGCCTACGTGCTTGTTAGCCCATATACATGCATATAGTGTTTCTCTTGTCCTCGAGTCTCCTTTTTCTTTCAAATTTATTGCACTTACATGTCTTGCGTAGATGGAGACTGCACCAGAGTTAACACTCTCTCTACCCCCTGCATGTGTACAGTCTTCAACACATGGCATTTGATTATAGCCTGAGGGTATGTTACCACGTCCTAAACAATAAGCTCTCCACCTTCAGGCAAACTAGCTGAAAATCCGCAGATGAAAGCTCTTTAGTCATTCATCAGGCAGATGAGATCTCTGCTTTTATTTTGTTATAGTGTAAATCTGCTGCTTAGTTTCCTAGTCTCTCTGAAAACTACTGAATCATAAAAATGCTTGTAGCAAATGCCAGCTTGTCTGTCACCAGAATAATACATTAAATGGCTTATCAACTCCAAGAGAAGACTACAATACTTTTGAGATTATTTGGATATATCGTTAGGGAACAAAATATGTTGACAGCTTCAGAATTGTCTTGATCAGGAGATTTTATTTTGTATTTTACTATAGCGTATCCAGTAGTACTTGGGGAGGAAAGAGAAGATGTCCCTAAATTTCTGCAAATGTAGCTCATCGATGGGGAAAACCACAGAAGAAGAGTGGAGTAGAACATAAATGTAAAACGAAGGACTGTTCTTGAAAGGGCAGAACTATAAGGTTTGAATAGTCTCAGCAGAAGTATTGCCATTTAATTATTAGGAGTAGTGAGTCCATATTAACCCTTATGGAAAAGCACTATAGACTATAATAAAGCTGAATACTTTTCTATAGCCTTTTGTTATAACCTTGTCAAATTTAATAAAAAATTACTAATAAAGAAATTCTATTAGAATGGCTAAAAAAATTACTGGAAAGGATCATTTCCTATTAAATAGTTTAGATTCATAGAGTGATTGTTATTAGACCATATTAAAATGTGTATGACTTTTTCATTCTGAATACAGCTGGAAAATGTAATTACAGATAAACGATGAAGGGCCTTTGCTATTGTTG